CATTTCCAGCCCAAACCATTCCCTGATTCCATGGTCACGGCACAAAGGTCCTGGTCAGGGTTCAGGGAATGTTTGGATAAGGCTCCCAGGCAGTTGGAGGGATCTGGGAATATCCTGTGGGGGACACAGTGTGGATGTGGCACTGGGGACATCAGTGTTGGCACTAGTGTCTCCAAGGGATTTTCCAGCCCAAACCATTCCCAGATTCCCTGTGGTTGACCTCGATCCATGTGTCCCTCACAGCCTGTTCCTTCCCGGATCGTGTCCTGGCGTTCCTGCTGCCCAAGCTGGAGAGCAGCACTGAGAGGACTCGAGTGGGAACTCTGCTCATCATGAGGCAGATCATCAACAGTGCCCGTGAGTGCCATGGCCACCAGCACCGACCGACTGGAGCTCCTTCCTCCCGTGGGTCCCTTAGATCCCTCAGGAGCTCCTTCCTCCCGTGGGTCCCTGGAGTTCTGTCCCCTCATCTGGTTTGATGACCTGAGTCCCTCCTTGGCTCCAGGTCCTAGGAGAAGGTGACCTGGTGGCTCAGCCATGAGGAAGGGGATGAAGAACCAAATCCTCTCCATGTTGGAAGGAGTTTGGGGCCTCCTCCTCTCCATCCTTGGGATCTCCCAGAGCTTTGAGTTGTGTCTCCTCTCGGTTTCAGCCTCGCAGATGGAGATCAAGAAGCCTTTCATCCTCTCCTCCATGAAGCTTCCTCTGCAGGACAACAACAACAAGGTAACTGAGCTCCTGCTCTTCTGGGAGGTCCTTCCCAAGGGGTGGGAGGTTCTTCTGGGAGCTCTTCCCACCTGTGTCCTTGGCCCACGGTTGGATCTCGAGGGAAGGACAGCAGGAGCCGAGGGATTCCCACTGGGAGAGAGGATCAGGTTCCTGATCAGCTGAGGAACTTCAAAGAGATGAGCCAAGGGCTGGTTGGACTTGGAGCCACCTGGGCTGGGGGAAGTGTCCCTGGGTGGCACTGGATGATCCTTGAGCTGGGGGAAGAGTCCCTGGGTGGCACTGGATGATCCTTGAGGTCCTTCCCACCCAGCCCATGCCACGATTCTCCCCCATGGCACAGCAAGGACGAGTTTGGCTCCGTCTCCATCACCTCCTGGGGAGGGTGGAGGAGAATGTTGGGGTAGATGTCCTCAAAACCTTCTCCTCTGCCCTGAGCCAACCCTCAGGTCCCATCAACCTTCCCACACGACTCCTGAGACCTCAGGAGCAACTCCAGCCCCTCTGGGCTTGGGTGGACCCGGGTGTGAGCTCAGGGCTGACGTTCTGAGAACGTGAGGTCCTGCACAGGTCACTCCCACGTCACCTGCCGTGGCCGTGGCTCTGTGTGGTGGCTTTGGCACCTTCTGGACAACTCCGTGGCCACAGGTGGTTAACCCCCATGGTCTGGTAGACCTCAACCCAATGCAAGAGCTGTGGGACCTCCAAGAATGTCTTCACACCTGTGGGGGCAGCAGGAGGAGCTTGTGGAGGACGAAGCTCAGGTGGTGGAGGAAGCTCTGGAGGAGGAGGAAGCTGTAGAGGTGGAGAAACCTCTGATAGAGGAGGAACCTCTGGTGGAGGGGAAACCACTGGTGGAGGAGGAACCTCTGGAGGAGGAGGAAGCTGTAGAGGTGGAGAAACCTCTGATAGAGGAGGAACCTCTGGTGGAGGGGAAACCACTGGTGGAGGAACCTCTGGAGGAGGAGGAACCCCTGTAGGACCCTCGCCGATGTGTCCTCCTGCCCGCGTGGCCGTGTCCCTGCAGGTGAAGCGCGCGGTGGTGCAGGTGATCAGTGCCATGGCTCACCATGGCTACCTGGAGCAGCCTGGAGGAGAAGCCATGATGGAGTTCCTGGTCCGCCAATGTGCTCTGCCCTTGGCTGGGGTAAGGACCCTTGGGTTGGGTGGGAGATGTCGCCAAGGAAGGTCTCCAGGTGGCTTGAGCGTGTCCTTGGGTGTGGCTGGAGACATCTCAGCAACCTGTGGCACCAGGGTCGGGGTGGGGGATGGACAATGTCCACCCAGAGGTTTCCTGTCCAGCTTCTGATCACCTCTGACCAATTCTGGCCACCTCTGACCACCACTCTGCTCTTCTCCTTGTCTTCTGCTCTTCTCCTTGTCCTCCTTTTTCTCCTTGTCCTCCTTTTTCTCCTTGTCCTCCTTTTTCTCCTTGTCCTCCTTTTTCTCCTTGTCCTCCTTTTTCTCCTTGTCCTTCTCTTCTCCTTGGCCTCCTTGGCCTCCTTGGCCTCCTTGGCCTCCTTGGCCTCCTTGGCCTCTTCTCTTTCTCTTTCTCTTTCTCTTTCTCTTTCTCTTTCTCTTTCTCTTTCTCTTCTCTTCTCTTCTCTTCATCCTCTTTCTTCTTCTCTTCTTCTCCTTGTCCTCATGAGCTCCATGGGCAGACCTGGACACAACCCACCCCACCCCTGACCTCATCCCATGGTCCCCACACAGGACCAGGAGCTCTGGGAGCTCCATGGGAAGACCTGGACACAACTCAACCCATCCCTGACCTCATCCCATGGTCCTCACACAGGACCAGGAGCTCTGTGGGCAGACCTGGCGCTCCCGTGGAGATGTCCTACCCCCCAAGAGGCTCTTGGCTTCCTTCCCAGGTCCCCAAGAAGTCTCCAGGAGATGCTGAGGAGCTCACGAGCGACAGCGTCCAGAGCATCAGCGTCAACACTCTCTTCCTGCTCAGCACCACCGTGGACAGGATGAACCACGTGAGTCCTCCTGGGCCTCTCCACCTCTGCCCAGTGCTGAGGGGCACACACTGCACCCAGGGGACCCCAGGGATGGTCC